TAATGCGACTTTCTCGGTTCTATAGGGATGTGAGAGAAGGGTCATGGCTAAAATTTGGCGCTGGAAAGAAAATTCGAAGACGTACGAGGTTTCAAAGACTCGYGATAGCTCGCTTTTGGATCCCGAGTTTCCAACCTTCTCTTATTTCTTACTGGTGGGGAAAAAAATCCTTAAAACGGGCTAAATTCAAAAAATAACCACGCAGAGCGAAAGAAGTGCTATTTCTCAATGATAGGGTAAAATTTCGAGGCTTTATTTCACGTTTTGATGATTTTATTTAAATTTTTGATGATTCCCCATACATTTCCTTATAACAGGACACCACAGAAAGCAAGCTTGGGCTACCTGTGATAGATCAGGCTTAGCTATTTTCTGTTCTCTGATAAAACACTCCTGAAGCTGTAGAACACTCAAAAAGTTATAGAAATCATATTTTATAACTTTTTTCGTGTCCAGTCGTGTTTTATCAGAGAACACAACATAGCTAAGCCTAAAGTGAACATCACACTCAGAGCACACGCAGTATTATTGTGCTAATTTATTCATATCTATTTCAACCAGTCGCAAACGCTATCAGGATCTGGGTTGTGCTACGTCATCAGTATGGAATTTTTCTTCTTYTTTTTCAATTTCGCGGGGGGACGGGCGAGCAAAAGGATGTCTATTAGAAAATATTCATGGTCATTTATTTAATAAGCCAAGCTTTTCTGCAATTTTTCTTACACATATTTTTCAGCTCGTCTTTTTTCGGTTCTGTAAACCACTCATCGTTTCTTAAAACAAAGTTTCCGCTACCCTGTTAGCTCAGTTGGTAAGAGCGTTGGTCTGTTGTGCGGGAGGTCGTGGTTCAAGCCTCGGCCGGACCAACACTCAGGGTCTTAAAATAACTGAGGAGAAGGTGCTGCCTTTGTAATTACATCTGCAAATGGTTAGACCTTCAAGTCTTCTCGCACAATGACTTAAAACCGTAGGCCCTGTCTACCAACCCTTCCTAACCTACAGTAAATGGGGGACGTAAAAGAACCTGTTGAATTTTTCGTTTAAGAGCAGGGGATTGTCTATATGCAGCCCGTAAAGTCCTCCACTGCAATGTAAAGAGCATTGAGACAATGTGATAATGCGCTATATAAGAACCCCATTATTATTATTATTATTATTATTATTATTATTAGTTATTGACTCGCCGGCAGGCAGCAATCTTGTCGTCTTTAAAATCGCCAGATGGAATCAAAGCCGAGAACTGAATGTATTAGAGTTTATTCATAAACACATGTATTGCAAGGTTTCCATCGGAATTAGTATTGTTTTTTTTCTTCGGTAATTTGTCAAAGTTTATTTCCATCCTTGATTACCTCTTGAAGAAATCATTGACTATTTTAAAATTTTGACTGTTTTTCCTTCCCTACCCCTTCCCCTCCCTCCTCCTTTCCATTCCACCTCCGAATCCCAACTTCACGATTATTGAGGGTTGTCACGCAGTTTATTCAAAAGCTCGATAAAAGCTTTGTTATATAAATAATGCTTTATAAATCTTGCTTGTCCTCCCTCCGACACATAATACGCATCCCCACCCCTATCAATTGCTCCCTTTGGTAATTTAGTGACATTAATTGACAACTGTTGCATGGCAATAGATTAAGACTATACACTGAATCCCTGTATCATATGCTCTCAACCATCTATCGGCTAATGCCGCGAAGGACCCTGTTTAATATTGAATAACAAAGCACTGAACAGTAGCTAGCAACCTATTCTGAATTGGTGCATCTATTTTATCGAGTCTCACAATATAACGAGGAATTCATTTGCCATATTGCAATTTTCTGTATTTAGATTCCAGACCAGCATCGTCATATGAGCAAGCCTTGAAAGACACCAACAGAGATCTAAAGTATGAATCTGATAATCATCATTTTTGTTTTTGTTAGCCTGAAGCAGATGTTTTCATGCTATTGTTGCGAAATACTAATTAATTTAAACCGTTTTATTTTGTAAATCAGGCTTGATCCCAAACTAGCTGGACAGCCCTCCAATAAACCACAGAGAGGTATACAGACTTCACCTTCAGGTAATTAAGTGCACTGTTTTTTTAACTGTTTTGTTAATAGTCATATTTTATAACTACGTTCTTTTACATTAGTTAACAACACACTCAACAAAATTGAGCAACTCAATTGGGACTCTACAGAGTACAATTTTGTTGAGTGTATTATTATAACACCAGTCATAAAATACCTTTGCTTTTGTTACCGGGGTACCTGTAGTTGCCTGACTGATTCCTGCACGACAAAATGGAAAAATTGTGCAATAGTACCCAGGGGTCTTCAGGAACTTATCCAAGAGACCATTGCGGGCATCTGCTATAGCTTTCCCCTATAAGCATGTACCAGATCTCAATCACTTGTCACTATGTTGTCAAGTTATTACGAAAAGGCGTAGCTAACAGTTCACGTGACAAATTAATTTCTACGCATGCTCTGTTTCGTTCACTRCTGTAATTCAAGACAGCCGAACTAGAATTATTAATTTACCACTAATCGTAAACAAGAATTTCCAGCAAGATGGTATAGACTTCTAAGCGAGGATTTAAAAGAATCTTCAAACTTCATGGGCAATAGATTGTTTTGGTTAACTATTCATGCTTTGATTCAAAGTAGTGTTCATTTCTGTAATCGAAGATCAGTTCTAAGGGATAAACTAGTCTTTTTTWAAAATAACTACACGTAAGTAACTAAGTTGTTATTAAGAGTAATAAAATGATGAAAGTAAATGTCTGAAACGCATGCACATTTTTGACCTTCGCTTCAGTCGATCTATTGATTCTACTCGGCTTCTAGCTCACTCGACACGGCTTAAAAACGCGTGCGCATGCGCGAAAATCCCAAAAACAAAATGGCGGACGCTCTAGCAGTATTCGTG